TGCAACAGGAGCAACCCACTGTTACTCAGCCACCATTGGCTGATGACCAGTTCACTGGTGATGATGCAACAATGGAGGAGGACACTGAAGAGCGTAATTTGGAGGCTGAGTTGGATGCTGAGTATGTTGTGCTTGATCCTGAGTTAGATGCTCAGTTGGAGGAGGAGCTATCATGTGCTATCCCGAAGACAGGACGTGGCATGGATAAAGGAGATGACGCTCCTGTAGACCCAAGTCAAAGAAAGGTGCTTAGCCTTAATTCCCGAGGCACATTCAGCCATGAGAGGTTTGGGAGGACAGCCACAGTAATTTGGAAGTACTTGTATGATGAGCCAGTGCTTTTTTGGCCTAGCTGGCCTAAGGAAAAGAAGAAGGTTGCCTGGGAGAATTTTCAAGTATGAAAATTATAGAATAAAATGAAGTATTTTTTAAGAATTTATTTAGATGCTATCACCTTACTCTTATGGTATTTGATATGAAAGTACAAGGTATATTTTATATGATTTTTTATATTTTATAAGGATAGTTATAGGGAAAGTTTTTCCTTGAAAAAAAGATGGGAAGAAAACTTAAAAGGTTAAAAATTGTGTCGGGGAAAATAAATATTAAAAATGTCATTTTTATCTTTATTTTATTGTAGTATTAATGTATAAAAATATATAAATAACCTTATAATAGAAAAAATTTAGAGAATAGCCAAACTCCCCTTAATGTAATATGCTGGAATCTAGGACTATTTCCTCATGGTTGGCGAATCATGCAGAAGACCCGTTCAACTTAACTGTCAATGGCAGATTAGCCCCTAAACCAAATTCAGAAGCCCATCACCCCTTAACTCTTCGAAAGTGGCAAATAAGCCCTTGTTTGATGGTTGACATCATTGTTCTATCGAAAACTAACAGAGCCTTCATTTAGTATTCATTGTTTATTTAAATCAAATTTTGCTAAAAAGAATCGAATTAATGTGAATTATCAATCTAAGCTTGGGTAGCCCAAAAAAAAAATTAACAATAGAACAATCAAGAAAAATTAGATTAAAAAATGTGCAGATATATTTATTACCTAAGTAAATTAACAATAGAACCATCAAAAAAATTTTAACTTAATTTAGCATAAATATATATGATTTCTCCTTTTATAGTTAGTCTAATCCTAGAACCAAAGCAACAATAAAAGTAAACATACAATTTTGATTCAAACCAAACTATGAATTATCAATGATAAGCTCCAAATCCCACATATAGCATAAAAGTCTCCTCTCCTCCCTCTCCTCCATAACTCTATATTCGGACAAACAAGAAAATTAAGTATGAATGAAAAATAATGAAGAACAATGAATAAAAAAAAATAAGGAGTTGAACAATTTTTGGACACAAAATGAAGAATAAAGATAGAAAATTAAGCTTGAATTTAATTTATCCCTCATAATTCACATAAATAGAGAGAATTACTAGAAACAAGTTGTAATTTTTTTAATGAAATTTGATTACATTAACACTAGTTAAAAGAAGTTTGTAAAATATTCTAATTATTGGCTGCAAATAAAAAAAATGGTTCTACATGAATAGAAGAACCTAAAATTCTTATTTTTAAATTATTGTTTTATAAAAGGGTGACAATATATTGACAATTTTTTTATACTATCTTTTTATTTATTTTTATATGTTATTAAATATATGAATGCATCTAAAATTATGAGTCTCAAATGAATTAAAAATACCAATAATTTAAATGACAAATAAGTTATACTAAAAGATGTACAAAAAAAAGTCATCCTTAAATCATTTTCTTTCATAAAATATATTAATATTAATAGGTTTGGTGACATAGGGCCCACATTATTTCCAACTCAGCAGCAAGTAGAGTGAAACAAGATCACCTTTAGTTTTTTGACGGAACAATGATGTCAACCTTCAAACAAGGGCTCATTTGCCACTGTCGAAAGAGTATAAGGGGTGGTATGCTTCTGACCTTGGGTTAGGGGCTAATCCGCCACCAATAGTCAAGTTTAAGGGCCTTTCGCATGATTCGCCCTCATTGTTTCTTCCGTTCCAACATTCCTTAACCTTTTGCAATTACTTTAATTCCCCTTAATATTATTAATATTTTCAACCTACACATATAACCCAAAACAATAATATATAAATATATATATAGAACAATATCTATCTACCTTATCTCTTAAAACTAGAGGGAAAATTAAATTATTTCAATAAACTCCCCTACAAAAAATTACAATACCTTATTTTTAAAACATGAACTATAATATTTTTGTCCTTTCTTATAGTCCTTTATTGAAATAACATAATTTTAAGATAATTTCTCTCATAATTTTTAAAAAGTAAAGGAAATAAGTACTAACCTCATATATTAATTATCCACCGATGTCTTTTAATTCAATCTCATTGCTTGTGAAATTCTACATGTACACAATAAATATTCTTTTATTCCAAATTTATGCCAAATTATAAATTTGATAAAAGTGTGTGGGCTACAAAATCTGGAAATTTGATTCTTTGAGTCTTCTCTTTAAATAGAATATTCCAATCTCAACTTATGCTTGAACAAGTCTTCAATTTCTTCGTTAGATAAAATCAAAGTTCTTTTTAATAGGAAAACAAGTGATCAATGCTTTTTATAATGCTTTTTATATTGCATTTTTCACTTGTTCTCCAATCTTTGTTCTTCAAGTTCCCTCTTAATAGGGTCTTCAATTTATTTCTCATTAATGAGAAGTCTTTAAAGAGTTTAACCCTTGAAATTTATTTTAGGATTTTCTGTTTCTAAAGTATGTGTCAAAAGGTTTGAAGAGATACTCTATTTATAGACATAAGTTGATGAGTTTTTTTAGAATTAATTAAAACTTCTCTACTAACTATTCTTTATTTGACAAGTAATAGAAATGCTTTAATCCTATTCGTCAAAATAATAAATATTTTTATTTAATAAATATTTTTTAATATTTTTTTTAAGAACAAGACTTTTTTTTCAGGTAATTTAAATTGTGATTTGGACACATGTTATTTTGTAATTGGTCCAAAGACATCATCAAAAGAATTTTAATAGGCCAAGAATAATATTATTCTTCAAGACCCAAATTAACATGTGATATTTTTTAATTGACCAATAATTTTTTCGTGTCTACAATACAACATAGGGTATCCTTTTTTTTTTCTTTTCAGAAAGTAAAAAGAAAAAAAAATTATATATAACTGAAACTTGCTAGTGTGTGTGTTTGGACTTTGTTTTTGGAGCAACAGGAAATAGATTCTGGTTAGTTTTAGATCAGTAGTTTTTTGAGCAGCTTTTTGGACTTTGTGGTTGCATAGAAATGAGATTGTGTTCAAGGAAGGGACATGAGGCGAAGTTAGAGCTTTTGATTTGGCTCAAATGAGATCCTTCAAATGTAAGACCTAAACCCCCCCTACCCCCTTTTGTAACTAGTTGTCTTTGAGGCTGTTAGCCCCCCAACATACAAGCTCTAGTAAGTTAGCCTCTAGATTACACATCATTTGGAAGACTAATTCAAAATTGATGGCAACCAACCATAGGTTGAACACGCTCTCTTGAATCCTTTTTAATTAATTAATTTAGTAGTGAATCCCTAATTTTGTGTATGTGACACTTATTTTATCTACCTAAAATTATGGTGAGATCAAGAATAACCACATAGGCAACCTAACTTGTCAATTTTTTATTGAGTTGGTATTGACTAGGTTTGGGTTAACATAGGGGTAATGGTTATGTGTGTCGTATGATTCTTTACGATTAAATTTGAAGTAATTTTCCTAAACTAAACAACTTAAGGGTTCAAAAACAATATATTGTATATTGGGGGGCTAACACCCTAAAAACAAGAAGTTGGCGGGGTGGGGGGGAGGGGGGGGCTGGGGGCTTAAGCCCAAATGCAAACACCATCGGCAGATTGTAGTAGTTGGAGGCTTGGAGCCAACTCCCATAGGCCACAACTGTATGCAAAGGAGATTGTAAAGTTATGCTGAGTGAGGAAGTATTAGTGAATGCGATGCAAAGTATTGTGTGTTGTAATATGAGTATGAACTGAGATATAGTGTTGTATGTGTTAGCGTATCGCTTGTACTCTGCATAATAAAAATTTTGATTTACAGATAAAAAAGTATAACTGAACTTGCAATGCTTATGTCTATAGTTTATTAATTTGATGAAATTTTGAGGTAGATTTAGATGAGATACATCTTTATTTATTTTAATTTACTATATTAGTCTTGATGTTATTGATATATGGAGGGGTTGAATGTGATTTTCTTAGATTTTACATAATTTTCATTATTTATGTAGAAAAGGACTGGAAAGAATAAAATAGAAGTTTTGGGACTGAAATGAAAATATTTTAAAAGTTGAAGGACAAGATTGAAAGAAGAAAAGTTAGATTCATGAATTGAATAAATTTGAAATTTGAGAGTCAAAATACCACAAACTAAAAGTTGAGCAACTAGATGTCTCATACAATTGAAAAGACTATAGCATCGTCCCTAAATTGAGACACAAACTTGGGTTATACAGATTTTACACATTATCTGATCAACCTAGTACGCTTGTTAGTGGAATTAGCTCATCAGAATTTTATGGAGTCAACACTTAACAGTGATGTTTTGCTAGGCAAAGTGTCATTTGTGTATGCCTTTCATGTTTGATTGTTTGATGATAACATTTGTTCATGAATCTGGGTTCTGAATGTGTATGGCTGACAGTGGACTCTATTTTGCCAAGCACAAAGTATATATCTTGATCTTCTATTAAACATTATTTGTAGCTGCAGTTGGAACTTATACATCCTCTGTTCCATCCATTTTAGAAAGGCACTGTCTTGCGCCCACATATCCATATAAACTTTGTGTAAGAGGTATGGATCAATTAATGTAGAAAAGCAAAAGCAGAATTACAAATCCTTCTCTAAACAGTAGTCTATTTTGTTCTTGATCTCAAAGGCATCAAGGCAATGGTACCCATCTACGGTACTCTGCAAGCGCCCAAAGTGGGTAAATGTTCCTATATGCTGCGTAGTGTAACATGCAGTTCTTCATGAAGACTCCAGTGATTTCCTGCATAAGTAAAACACCAATTGCTTGTTAATGCTAAATTAGGTGCTCAAATGTGATCGAATCTTTCAGCCTACATTGAAGCTAAATAAAGGATTAATACCTGTTGGGGAAAATCACCATCTTCCAATTGAGAATTGATGATTAGCTTGGCTGCGCGATGAAGAGGTGTTGGATCTCTTTCTACCTGTATATTATGACCAAAATTTTGATATCAAGAACCATCAAAAGAGTAGAAGATTTTGATATATAAATTATAATGACTTTTTAACTACTAATTTACCTGTCCGGCTATAATCAAACCCATCATAGCCCATGCAGTGTGTACCAAGTTTGATCTTCCTTCTTCTAGAGGC